CACTTTGAGTAAGGATTAAAAATGATCTTTGAAAGATTTGGAGTAATGTTTTGATATTCGAATAATTCTATCGAATATACTTAGAAAATCATTTGGAAAATCTTAAAATTCATTTAACTTAATTTGTTATATCGAAATATCAAAATGTTTTCAACAATATCCCCCTTTTTGATATAACAAAACATTTTAGTAATTTTAAGATTTTGAAATCAAGTTTTGAAAGTACTCCCCCTTACTTTAATCACTTCTCCCATTTATCATTTAAAAACACATTTAACACTTCTCTCCCTTTTTGTTAAATCAAAAAGACATTTTAAAGAATTTAAACAAGGTTTTGAAATCATTTAGCCAATTGATTATATATAATATAAGTTGCTAAGATCACAAGCAAGAGAAACGTTAGCCATTAGTTTTATAATCAATATTCATAATTAATGTGAAATGGCAAAATTAGTCATTTATCTAATCATGAAGTAAATGATGCAATAATGAATAAATTTAATCACACTAAATAGATAATTTCTAACCATTCATAAAAACAAATTCAAAGTCAATCAATCCACAAATTCAAACATTCTAAAATATTCAAAATTTTAAAACAATAAGTTTGGAGTTCAAAGCAAAACATATAATCACATATCAGGATCAGGAGGAGGAAAACGAGCTCGTATAGCGGCCATTTCGTTAGTGATGTCATTAATACGCGCGTTGGTTGCTTCATTGTTTGTACGCATCTCCCGAAGAATTCCTAATTGTTGAGCTCCCATTGTGGATAAATGGGACTCTATAGAAGTAAAGCGCGAATCCATGGTAGCATATCGAAAATCGAATGTCTCCATAAAGATTTGAAAATATGGAGGCATTTGATGCGTTTGTTGTGCTTGCTCCTCGGGCTGCTCAGGCTCATCTTCGGCTTCATCGATGTCTCGCATTAATTGCTCAAGCTCGAGATCTTCGTCAGCTTCGGGTGGAGCCTATGAAGAACTAGCTCCCGGAGTATTTGCAGAAGATCGAACCCATTCACCGGTTTCCTTATCCTTAATCCATCCCGCTCTCGTTAAGGAAAGAAGTTTAATTTGTTTCTTAAGGGGAAAAACGACATCTAGACCGACTCTAAGCCCAGCTTTGGAAAACAGATTACTCAAAATGCAACCGTAAACAAGAGATGAACAAAGTTTCTTGTTAGGAACAAGATTTACGGTTTCAACAATTTCAGCAAAAATAATCCGAGGTAGGTTAATTTTAATATTGTTTTCGAAACAATGTAACCACCAAAGATCTAAGGCTCTAAGAGTAGAATAACGACCTCCGGATGGTCGAAACTACCAAGAAATCATTAGATGAAGAAAACGTTCATGAAGGTCTAAGACACTTGCACTATCCCTTCTTTTATAACGAGATCCTAAAACCTGCTTTTCATTTGAAATACCATCATTATCTAATCCGAATGTATTGGCTATGTAAGCCGAGTCAATATATAAGAATTGTCCTAGAAGATAGGAACGAATTCCTATGGTTTCGGTTTCAGTTTGGTTTTTAACACAAACGGCATTAAAATAGAAAATACGAACAAGTTGATGGTAAACGATGGGTTCAAGGTCAAAGAGTTTATCAAATTTCCACTCTTGTAAAAGAGGAAGATATTTAAAATTAATAGCTAACATAGCTCGACGAGAGGGAATACGTTCTTCCCGGATTTTGTAAGAGTCAAAATATTAATAATACCAAAAACGATGATTTCTAGGACCAGGATGATTGAAACACGAATTTTGGATAGTCAAGTTAGGATCAATGGGATTAGGATTAGAAATTGGAATAGGAGGAGGATTTGGAGGTGGATTTGGTTGACGGTGTGAACGACTAGATGATGACCTAACACGTTTAGGATTGGACATGGTTTAGGAAATCAGAATAGAATTGATAACCTGCAATTTAGAAAACACATGTATGCAATTCAATCAATCCCAAAACTTAATTGAGTCCTCAATATTTCAAGGTTCTCTAAATCAATCCTAATGGGCAAAGTTTTTGAAAAACTTTTAAAAAATATGGTTTTGAGAAACAATATATGTATAGTTTTCATAACAACAACATAATTTAATCAAAACACAATAATTTGAAAATTAATTTTTTTTTTATTTCGAAAATTTAGAAAATTTTGGAAAATTCTTGTGTTTTTGATGAAATTAGTTGTAATATCTAGTTTCTAATCACTAAATAATCAATGCCCGATCTAAAATTCAACCTAGAACTAATTAAAACTAGTTCTATGTTCATAAATTGATAAAAAAAAGAAGTTTTGGAAAAATACCTTGAATGATTTCGGATTTGAGTGAGATTATATGAAGTTTGCACGTTTTTGATGATTCCAACAGGTTTAGAGGATGATATTTGAAGTGAATTCCGATTAAAAACGTTGATTTGAGGCAAAAATGGAGATTTGAGTGCTTAGAGGGAGAGAAACGGCGAATGGAAGAAAATAGAGGGTTTTGAACAAAAATAAGGGTTCTGCCCGTGTGAACTCCAGGGGGGTATCGATTCCCCTGTGGGGGGAATCGATTCCCCTTCAAAGGGGAAATCGGTTCCCTCAAGGGGAGATCGATTCCCTCTGCACCAAAATGCTAAAATCCGATTTTAAACACCCAAAATGCTAAATTAATTTCCTCTAGTGGTATTGGCAACTCATATATTGAAAATTAATCATGTTCAAACAATTCAATTAATCTTTAAACGATATTTGAACATAAAATTATTTTTTCATCAATAATCATAAACTCCCCCTAACTAATAGCAATGAATGCAATCAAAAATTACTATTATAAGGATTTTTCATTTATTATTAAAAGTGCTAAAATTATTTTAAACACTCAGTGAAGATAAATTGGTCAAACCTAATTCTCTCCTAAGTGTCCAAAATCGTTCTATGTCTAAAGGTTTTGTAAAGATATTCACTAATTGGTGCAAAGTATCAACAAATTCTAGAACTACATATTCCTTAGTGACATGGTCTCTAATGAAGTGATGTCTTATTTCAATGTGCTTAGTTCTAGAGTGTTGGATGTGATTTTTAGTGAGACAAATAGCACTAGTATTGTCACACTTGATAGGAATGGTACCTACTTCAATTCCATAATCAAAAAGTTGTTGTTTCATCCATAAAACTTGTGCACAGCAACTACCATCTGAAATGTATTTAGCTTTAGTGGTAGATAATGCAACACAATTTTGTTTCTTTGAAAACCAAGAAATTAGCATATTTCTAAGGAATTGGCAAGTACCGGAGGTGCTTTTTCTATCTAATTTGCATCCTCCATAATCCGCATCAGAAAAAACATGTAAGCTAAAGCTAGAGTCTCTAGGATACCAAAGTCCTAAACTAGGAGTGTCTTTAAGGTATCTAAAGATTCTCTTAACAGCTAGTAAATGTGATTCCTTAGGACATGATTGAAATCTAGCACATAAACAAACACTAAACAAACACTAAATACTTTAATCCAATTACCATTTCAACAATAATAAAAAAAAGAAATTGATATTTACTAGAAGTACATATATCTACCCTTTGGTTGCTTTCCACCCATTGACTTCATTTTTCCTTCATATATTAGTTTACGCAAATCAAATCAAATACTTGTATATAAAAATCGATAACCACTCTTGTGGTAAAACGGTTGGTCTTCAATAGAATTTGAATGGCCACTACAACAAGTGTCGGCACATTTATACAAACCTCAAATATCATTTTCTACCTATAATATTATATACAGGTATCTATATTTATTTTCTACCTATAATATTATATAATAATCGGTCCCAAAACCTCCCTATTTCCTTCAAACGAATGGGAACACTCAATACTCAAAGTATCGGTACATTTATACAACCTATAATATCATTTTCTACCTATAATATTAAATAAAAGTATCGATATTTATCATCTACCTAGAAGATCATTTTCTACATGTAATCGGTCCCAAATGCTTCTTTACTTCGAAAACCCCAAACAACAACACATAAAAACCCTAATTACTGTAATAATAAAAAACTAGGGTTTCAACAACGTGCTTTTCGATTTGAAATGCAGCAACAAACAAAACAAACTTCAATATATCTGGTTTTATCATTTCGATACCGGTTTTATCATATTTTTACCTATTATATTGTTATGGATCGATATATTTTCTTAAAGTATCGACACTTTTTAGACGCTATAATTTCTTCTCTTTTAAATTACGAAAGTGTCGATACTTATATTAATTTATCGACACTTTCAATATATATGGTATCTTTTTACCGGTTTATCATTTCGAGACCTCTTTTGTCATATTATTACCGGATATATTACTATGGATCGATACATTTGTATAAAGTATCGACACTTTTCAGGCGCTATAACTTCTTCTCTTTTAAATTACAAAAGTGTCGATACTTATATTAATTTATCGACACTTTCAATATATCCGGTAGCTTTTTACCGGTTTTATCATTTCGAGACCTGTTTTGTCATATTATTACCAGTTATATTGCTATGGATCGACATATTTTTATAAAGTATCGACACTTTTTAGACGCTATAACTTCTTCTCTTTTAAATTACAAAAGTGTCGATACTTATATTAATTTATCGACACTTTCAATATATTTGGTAGCGCTTTACCGGTTTTATCATAATGACACCGATTTTATCATATTTTTACCTGTTATATTGCTATGGATCGATACATTTTTAATTTGTATCGACACAAACCGACAACCTAAGTTTGCCTGTTGTCAAATTTTTTAATATTTTCTTCATGATTTCCACCTACAACATTGTTATTACTCGATATTTCAGATAACGTTAAACTAAATTTATTAAATATATTATAATATATCCGATAACACCGTATATTAGTCGTATATTAACTCGCATTTTCCTAAGACAATCCCCCGATATTTCCTAAAAAAATATGATATAAAATCAAAGAAGAACGAATTTGGATTTTTCTTTCTTCTTCAATTTTCGAGAAGAATTTTAAGTTTTTAGTTTAACTTCGATGCGAAGCTGAAGCAATCATTTATAGTGTTTTTTTTTTCAATTTTTTAGGGTTGGGTTTTTATTTTATTTCTGGGTTTTGGTTGATTGGTTTCATGGCTGACTGGCAACAGCTTTTGCAATCGATTTTTATAGGTCTCATCTTCTCTTATCTTCTCGCTAAGCTAATCTCCTTAGTCGTTTCTTTCAATGAAGATAACCTTTCGATTACCCGAGATCGAAGCGGCTATGTCCAAGGCTACGAGAAGATCGACGACCCGGGACCCGTGCCCGACTCGCTTCTCAGTACTCAGCACGAGGGACTGCACAAGTCAGATTCGGTGCTCGCCGAATTGGGGAGTCTTAGGAACGACAGCGACGGTGATGGCCTTGGCGAGGATGATGACGACGACGATTGGGAAGGGGTAGAGTGTACGGAGCTGGATGATGCGTATAGTGCTGCGACGGCGTTCGTGGCGGCGGCTGCGGCGGATCGGTTGTCACAGAAGGTACCTAATGAGGTGCAGCTGCAGCTTTACGGTTTGTACAAGATTGCCACCGAGGGACCTTGCACTGCTCCTCAGCCTTCCGCTTTGAAAATGACCGCTCGTGCTAAGTGGTAAAGCGGTGTTTCGTGGCATTTTCTGCTCATTTTTTTCCTTTTGAGTTTCTCGTATTTTTTTTTGGTTTGTTTTTGGGTTTTTCCTCTTATTTTCGCAAATGTGAATGTCATAGATGAGTTTGCTGAGTATAATTTAGTTTAATTAGCTTGCTAAACTTCGTTTTCATGATTCAAAACCGAACTTGTTATGAGTAGAAATCTGGGTAAAACTGATGATCATTTAATTAATTTCTTATTCAATTATCAAATGCTTGATTGTCTCCTCATTGCAAGGCACTTCCATGTAGTATGAGAGTTGTTTCTACTACATAACACAAGACCTTAATGATTGAGAGTGGCTTGAGAAATTCATAGTCCTAGTTGTTGAATTTGGCTATTTGTTTATTCTTAGGCAAGCATGGTACAAATTGGGTGCTATGCCTCCGGAGGATGCAATGCAGAAATACATTGATATCGTGACTGAGCTTTATCCGACTTGGGTGGATGGTTCGGCTATGGTGCGATTTTAAACTTATTGTGGTTCTTTCTACTATCTGTCCTTTTTGGCGGTACTGTTTATTTCTATCTACTTCCTTTTCGTTTTTCTCTGTTTTGCTGATGTTCTGGTCTCTCAACCTTTTTTGCTCCTAGAAGAGCAAAGGTGGGGCTGATAGTGCTGCAAGTAAAGATGCCAAAGGACCAATGGGACCGGTTTTCAGCTCGTTCATATATGAAGAGGAATCTGGAAATGAGTTGTAAGGTTCTTAAAACTTCATCATATTGGTCTTTCTAACTGCTATTCCTTAGGTCTACTTATGTCTTATAAAGGTTTACAAGGTAGGAGATAGGACCCTCCAAATACATGGAAAAACTTGGAAAAATAATCGAATATACCCATTTTGGACACATACCTATATCCGATTCTGTGTAACATAGTAAACTGGAACTTATTATAGGGCTTCTCATAATTGCTTGAGCGACATCCAGGTCTTAAGTTGCTATTGTTTGTAATGGCATAATTGGTTTTAAACATGCAAGTTTAGTATCTGAATAGAAAAAAACTTCCTTTTTCTTGAGCTATAAATCAACAGTGTGCAATTCTACTTGGGATTGTAATATTTTTTTCTTGTTATACTATTTTCTGGTTCTTACCACTTGCCTATGAAATCCAATATAATTATGGAGTCATCAAACAATCAAATCCTCCAAAATCGAAGGCCAGTTAACTTGGACTATGGATATGGAATGTGTTTGTTCCACGATTTATGATTATATATTCAAGTCTTGTTTTGGCTGTTTGTTGTTCTAAATTCTCTTCACAAGTGTCGATGTTGCATTTTCATATATGACGCCTTAGGTATTGTATAAGTTTCTATGTGCTGATTGTTGATATGTATGCCCTTTTGTTAACTATGGAATAGTTCCCGTTAGTACAGTAGTGTGTTAATATAAGTGATTCATTAATGAGTTAAAAGACTTCCCTTTCCTCCTGTCACGTAAACAAAATATTCTTTATTACATAGTTTATTGTTTTTGTTTATAGTAGTTAAGAGATCTGATTAGAATGCTAAAGTCTTATTGTTTTTCAGGAAGATGGATGCTATTCATACTTTTGCCAGAGAAGGAGAACTGGATAATTTGCTTAAATGCATTAAAAGTGGTGTTTCCGTGCATTTACAAGGTTTGTTTCTATTTAGTTGTATTTCGCCCTTTGAGGAACTAGACTTGCATAGAGGTTTGAATGACTTGTTTTATCGTGTTACTACTTTGCATATGATGCAAGCAGACAGTGAAGGCAGAACCCCATTGCATTGGGCTGTAGATCGTGGACATCTTAAAATTACGGGAGCACTTGTTAGTAGGAATGCGGATGTGAATGCTAAGGTAATTATTGTATTGCTTTCACTGTTTTATCTGTTTTAGCCTCCTAATATTTGGTGAAACTATTCATGCCTGATGGATCTGTAATGCATGAAAAAAGAATGTCTTTGCAATGTTTTTGAACTGTTTTCAAAATCCTGTCGAAGTAATGAGAAAAAAATTGTTTTCAGGTGGTTCATGCATCAGCTTGAACCTATTGAATGGTGCACTATGTTCTTTTCACACACATATGGATACCTTTCTTGTTCCGGTGTTCTAATCAGTACTGTTAAATTCTTTTTATTTTATATTGGAAGGACAATGAAGGCCAAACCCCGTTGCACTATGCTGTTATGTGTGAGAGGAAAGACATTGCTGAATTTCTTGTAAAACAAAATGCAGACAAAGATATGAAGGATATGGATGGCAACTCTCCAGTTGACCTATGTGATTCGGATTGGCCTTGGTTGCAACATGCAGGCAAAGCTGATTGATCTGTGTTTTAAATCAAGTTTGCTTTTGGTTAAAGTACTTTAAAAAAGTTTCTCATGGATGTATATGGCTATAAGTTACTTTTTGCTTTTTTTAACATAGTTATATGCTGATGTGGGGCACTATGATGCTCATTGCCCTTGCCTCCTTGATTACTGCTCTCTCTACCTCCATAAGTAGATCGAAGAGAGTTAGAAGGTAAGTAAAGTTTAGCTGGTGAAATGGAATTCAAATAGTTTCTTTTTGTTGTTGCATTATGAGTTGAATGAATGTTTTGGATAAAGCCTAGAACTTGGATGTTACCATTCAAAGGGACCGGATAGTTTGATTCATACATCGTGTGCCCGATGTGGGCACTGAACCTAGCTAGTTCTTTGATCTTATGGTAGATTTAGATAAAACAGACTTGGTCACCCTAAACCTGTTCTATCAAATTAAGACTTGATCTCCATGGCATGGGCCGGATGCTGGTTTGCTTAGCGCTTACTTTCGACTCTTATTCTCTCTTCAGCCTGTAAAATGATTGGCTGTACTTTACATGTTTTGCTTTCGATTTGATGTTGTTCCATGAATTCTCTGATCAAAACCCTTTCCTGGAGAAAATTGCAGGTCTGCATTTATCCTAATTCGTTACCAAATTTTGAACTGAAAGTTTTAACTTAACCAGTTCTCTGATGAACAAGATTGAGTAATTAATATTGTTAGTGACCGTAAATTAAAGTAAAAGTTTAAACATTGAACTTAATTTTTTAAAGTCTAATTCAACTTGGGATTTGTTCGGTTTAAAAATAAAACAAGTTTGGTTAAAAATTTTAAAAGATTTCTGGGAAAAAAATGAAGATACTCTCTTAAAATTCTTTGTAAAGTTGAAAATAATGATTCTTGGTAAATTCGGTCAGATTTAAATTATAAACATAAAAATAGTTTTTTTCTCAATGATTTTTAACTATTTAAATTTACGAACATAAATTTGCTCCTTTGATTTTAAGTAATTAATTTTAATTAATTTTTGTGTTAATGATTATAGAAGAATATTCTAGTCATATGTTTAGTTTATGATTCTACTTTTAAATATTGATTATAATTTAGAATATTTTATGTCTTAATAAAATTAGCTGTTCTTAGTTCTGTAAAAAAACTATTAAATTTTATTATCATAGTTTAAATATAGTGTAAAACCATATAAATCCAATTTTATTTTTCATATTAGTATTATAAAATGACAGATATTAAATATGTTCTCATCGAAAATAAATTTTTATTTATTAATTATAATTTTAAAAATAAAATAAAACATTTTTAGAAATAAAAATTTGTTTTTTGAAATCAAAATAATGATTTACGTGAATGTATGTTTGTTATTTGGAATTGAAGTCATCGAAAGAATCGGAGCAGAGAAAATGGCTCCAGATAGACAGTAATTAGCTGTAACCTTTCACCCAAAAAAAAGTATAATGTAATTGATTTTGTTTGATGACAGTATTTATCAAATTAAAATTTAGCAGAGGTCGATGGGATCTTGATCCTTAAGATTTCTAAAAATTTGCGTTTAACCTTTTAGATTTTTAAAAGTTTTAATTTAGTTTTCTTCAAAGGTTTTAAAATTCTTGTTCAGTTTAATTTTTTTAAGAAAAATATTTTTAATTAGATTTTTTTATTTTTAAAGAGAATAATAATCTTGAAATTCTTCACAATTTTTAATTTAAACTTTTATAAAATTTTCTGTCATAGTTCGACGTTAGAAATGCACTTACAGCCTAAGAATTAAGATCACAGAGTCTCCCCTACTTAGAAGTTTCAGCTTTCATCAGGCCAAAAAACTTTACGGTAAAGGTAATCTAAGCCGTTAAACAGGATGACTTTTCGCAAATCAAAGTTGGTCAACTACACAAGTGGGGGCCATTTAAACAGGGGACCAATAGCAACCAAATAATAAATTCTCCCCTTTTACTTAAAGAATAAGTAATCTAAATTTCAGATTTGTTTAGTACCATAAATATCTGAGTACAGCTCCCACACCCGCTTCTGCTTTATATTCCTCCATTTTTTTAAAAAAAAATCATTTCTCTTATCATCATTTAGGGTTTTAATCATAGCAGCCGCTTTTGCTCTCGTTGATCGGTGGAAGGTAAATTTCCAATAGAATTTCGAGGCTTTTAAGTGGTTTTGTTTTTGTATGTACTTAGATTTTTGGAATTAGGGTTTTAGCGAATGATTTTGAGTATTCAATGGTGAATTACTCGATCTGCTCTCTCATTTTTTTTATAATATCGGATTCTTTTTGTTCGTAGAGTATTACTTGGAGTGTTTAGAATTTTAGATATATTTTATTAAACAGTTCTTGAATGGGTGAATTTGTAAGTGATACTGATTTAAATATAATTTGATCTGGAAACTTGTTTAATTTCAATGAATTTATTTTTTAATGTCTATTGGGCACAACGGATCCGAAATTCTGAATACTGAAGTTTTCATATCAGTTGTATGTAAATAGAGATGACACTAGGGCTGCCTATTGGTATCGGACTTTTTAATTTTATGTTCTATTTTTCATTGACCATTCCATTTAGTATGATGTCTTTTTGCTTATAAAAATTTATGATTTACTGTTTGATTTTGATTGTCTGATTTCTCATTGATTGATATATTTTTTAATACTTTCACAAATACTAGGTGATGGAAGTTACACAGGTGCTTTTGAATGCACAGTCAATTGATGGAACTACACGAAAGAATGCTGAAGAAAGCTTGAAACAGTTTCAGGAGCAAAACCTTCCTGGTTTCTTGCTGTCACTCTCTGGAGAATTGGCAAATGAGGAGAAGCCTGTGGAAACACGTAAATTAGCAGGCTTGATACTTAAGAATGCATTGGATGCTAAGGAACAACACAGGAAGTTTGAGCTTGTTCAAAGATGGTTGTTTTTGGATGACAATGCAAAGAGCCAAATTAAGGCATGCTTACTTAAGACCATTTCTTCTCCAGTGTCGGATGCTCGATCAACTGCATCGCAAGTCATTGCGAAGGTTGCTGGCATTGAGTTGCCACAGAAACAGTGGCTTGAGTTGATAGGCTCTCTTTTATCAAATGTTCATCAGTCCCCAGCTCATGTGAAGCAAGCTACTTTTGAGACTCTTGGATATCTGTGTGAGGACGTCTCTCCTGATGTTATTGATCAAGATCAAGTAAATAAAATACTTACGGCTGTAGTTCAAGGTATGAGTGCATCGGAAGGAAACATTGATGTGAGGCTTGCTGCGACAAGAGCACTTAATAATGCACTGGGATTTGCTCTGGCAAATTTCAACAATGACAGGGAGCGTGATTATCTAATGAGAGTTGTATGTGAGGCAACCCAATCTTCAGACATGAGGATAAGGCAGGCAGCTTTTGAGTGTTTGGTTTCTATTTCATCAACTTACTATGAAAAACTCGCTTCTTATATTCAAGATATTTTTAATGTTACGGCGAAGGCTGTGAGGGAAGATGATGAATCTGTTGCTCTTCAAGCTATTGAATTCTGGAGTTCAATATGTGACGAGGAGATAGATATTTTGGAAGAATACGAAGGTGTTAATGGAGATTCTGATATTACTTGCTTTTACTTCATCAAGCAGGCTCTTCCTGCTCTTGTTCCTATGCTGTTGGAGTTGCTGTTGAAGCAGGAAGAGAATCAAGATCAGGATGAAGGGGCTTGGAATATTGCAATGGCTGGTGGAACTTGTCTTGGTTTGGTTGCACGGACTGTAGGAGATGATATAGCCCCTCTTGTTGTTCCTTTTATTGAGGAGAATATAACAAAACCAGATTGGAGGCAGAGGGAGGCGGCAACTTATGCCTTTGGTTCAATCCTGGATGGCCCTTCTCCTGAAAAATTAATACCTCTTGTGAATGTTGCCCTAAACTATATGCTAAGTGCTTTGATAAAGGACCCCAATAGCCATGTCAAAGACACTACTGCCTGGACCCTTGGGCGGATCTTTGAATTCCTTCATGGCTCAGCTATTGGTTTACCTATCATCACTCAAGAAAATTGCCAACAAATAGTAATAGTTCTGCGACAGAGCATGAAGGACACTCCAAATGTTGCTGAGAAGGCCTGTGGTGCTCTCTATTTTCTAACTCAAGGTTATAAGGAGGTGGGTCCTTCATCCCCTTTAGTTCCCTTTTTCCAGGAAATTGTGCAGTCCCTTCTCACTGTCACTCACCGAGAAGATGCCGGGGAATCCCGGCTGAGAACAGCTGCCTATGAGACATTGAACGAAGTGGTAAGGTGTTCAACTGATGAGACATCTCCATTGGTGTTGCAACTGGTGCCCGTCATCATGATGGAACTTCATAACACTCTTGAGGGGCAGAAACTGTCATACGATGAAAGAGAGAAGCAGAGTGAATTGCACGGCCTTCTTTGTGGATGCTTACAGGTCATGATCCAGAAGCTCGGTTCATCAGAACCAACCAAGCATGTGTTCATGCAGTATGCAGAGCAGATAATGGGTCTTTTCCTAAGGGTTTTTGCTTGCAAGAGTGCAACTGTGCATGAGGAGGCCATGCTAGCAATTGGAGCCCTTGCTTATGCAACAGGGCCTGATTTTGCTAAGTACATGCCAGAGTTTTATAAGTACCTGGAAATGGGTCTTCAGAATTTTGAAGAGTACCAGGTCTGTGCTGTCACAGTTGGTGTTGTGGGTGATATTTGTAGGGCATTAGAGGACAAAATTGCTCCTTACTGCGATGGGATTATGACACAACTTCTCAAGAATTTATCAAGCAATCAGTTGCATCGTTCTGTGAAGCCTCCCATATTTTCGTGCTTTGGTGACATTGCATTGGCTGTTGGGGAGTATTTCGAAAAGTACTTAATGTGGGCCATGTCTGCTCTTCAGAGAGCAGCAGAGTTATCTACCCATGTTGCAGGAGATGATGAATTGACAGAGTACACAAATTCCCTGAGAAACGGAATTCTGGAGGCATATTCTGGGATTTTCCAAGGGTTTAAAAGCTCTTCAAAAACCCAGCTCTTGATTCCTTATGCACCTCACATCCTCCAGTTCTTGGATGGCATATACATGGAGAAAGACATGTGAGTTCTACTAAAATAATACTATTTTAGACTCTTACTCTATCGAATGCCTCATCTTTTGAGTGTGGTTATTAACAATCTTTTTTATGTTATGCTTATATTTCCTGTAGGGATGATGTGGTAATGAAGACTGCTATCGGAGTCCTTGGAGACGTAGCAGATACATTGGGA